AATGGTTAACGTCAAGAGTGAAATTTGTTCGAAGTGGGTGTACGTATACGTAGTAAAGTTGTTAGTAATGGTTAAACGTTCTAGAGTGAAATTGTTGAATGGGTGACGTCAGAGTGAAGTTGTTGAATGATTAACGTCAGAGTGAAATTGTTGAATGGGTGACATCAGAGTAAAGTTGTTGAATGGTTAACGTCAGAGTGAAATTGTTGAATGGGTGACATCAGAGTAAAGTTGTTGAATGGTTAACGTCAGAGTGAAATTGTTGAATGGGTGACGTCAGAGTGAAGTTGTTGAATGATTAACGTCAGAGTGAAATTGTTGAATGGGTGACGTCAGAGTGAAGTTGTTGAATGATTAACGTCAGAGTGAAATTGTTGAATGGGTGACGTCAGAGTGAAGTTGTTGAATGGATAACGTCAGAGTGAAGTTGTTGAATGGTTAATGTCCGGGTGAAATTGTTGAGTGGGTGACTTCATACTGAGTTTGTTGATGCTATTTCTTCAGGCTACAAGGCACATCACGATTGCTAGACATGTCAGTGGTTACACGACATATATTGTAAACAGTGGAGTGATCGGTACCTTCTGGAGCTCACGGGTAATAACCAATAGTGGACATAACTGGACTCTCACACATAAGGATTAACTTGATTTAATTTTACACAATACATTAATGAGGACACATTCAAAAGATTAGGGAGAACAACAAATACTATAGACATCATGTAAAACACTGGTGAGGACATATTGAAAATATTAAGTAGAACAACAAATACTATAGACATCATGTGTCCTCACCAGTGTTTTATTTTGAAAAGATTAAGTTGAACAACAAATACTATAGACATCATGTAAAACACTGGTGAGGACATTTTGAAAAGATTAAGTTGAACAACAAATACTATAGACATCATGTAAAACACTGGTGCGGACATATTGAAAAGATTAGGAAGAACAATACATACTATAAACATCATGTAAAACACTGGTGAGGACATTTTGAAAAGATTAGGGAGAACAACAAATACTATAGACATCATGTAAAACACTGGTGAGGACATTTTGAAAAGATTAAGTAGACCAACAAATACTATAGACATCATGTAAAACACTGGTGCGGACATATTGAAAAGATTAGGAAGAACAACAAATACTATAGATATAACACATTTTTAACTAATAATTATATAATAACATTTTTAGATATATGTATGATTTATATACACTATTGAGGTAGTTATTAAAATACACCAAAACAAAAAACTAATGTTATATTTCCTTTTATGGAAATCGACGAACATTGCCGAGATTTAACGAGATAAATCGACGAAGATTGCCGAGATTTAACGAGATAAATCCATTGGATAGACTCTTTGTAGCTGTACGTTATACTGTTTACTTTAATTCTAAATGTATCTTCTCGAAATCTGCCAAAATATTACAAGTCTGTTGTATACATAAAGTCAGATTGTAGAGAGGCCAACATGTCTCGTGCACGCCATCCCAACATTGGTAATTTTGAAAGATATCTGGGTGTGTTAGAGCATGGTGTAAACCTACCAAGTTTCAAGTCAATCCGCCTAGAAATGGAGGAATGACAGTCGATTGTTACTGAGTGAAAGGTCGTTATTATAGTAAGAGTAAAAACGTTACTGAGTCAGTCGGAGTGAAAGGTCGTTATCATAGTGAGAGTAAAAACGTTACTGAGTCAGTCGGAGTGAAAGGTCGTTATCATAGTAAGAGTAAAAACGTTATTGAGTCAGTCGGAGTGAAAGGTCGTTATCATAGTGAGAGTAAAAACGTTATTGAGTCAGTCGGAGTGAAAGGTCGTTATCATAGTGAGAGTAAAAAAATGTTACTGAGTCAGTCGGAGTGAAAGGTCGTTATCATAGTGAGAGTAAAAACGTTACTGAGTCAGTCTGAGTGAAAGGTAGTTATCATAGTAAGAGTAAAAAAATGTTACTGAGTCAGTCTGAGTGAAAGGTAGTTATCATAGTAAGAGTAAAAACGTTACTGAGTCAGTCTGAGTGAAAGGTGATTATCATAATAAGAGTAAAAACGTTACTGAGTCAGTCACGTTATCATAGTGAGAGTAAAAACGTTACTGAGTCAGTCAGAGTGAAAGGTGATTATCATAGTAAGAGTAAAAACGTTACTGAGTCAGTCGGAGTGAAAGGTCGTTATCATAGTAAGAGTAAAAACGTTACTGAGTCAGTCTGAGTTAAAGGTGGTTATCATAGTGAGAGTAAAAACGTTACTGAGTCAGTCGGAGTGAAAGGTAGTTATCATAGTAAGAGTAAAAACGTTACTGAGTCAGTCAGATTTCACTTGCACAACCTCAAAAATCTTCTAAATGAGAATTTTGTTTCCGGTAAAACTTTATATATTTTTTATTATTTTATCAAATTACTTATCTTGACAGTTTCGATATTAACCTTTTCACATATCTTTTTTTATCTTACAGTTTTATTGTTTGTATTGAATCAAAGTAATAACTTACAGCGGAAGTTCATTAACAAACAGCACGTGATCTTTGCATATACTGAACATTTTCTTGTGAATTTGAGCATAAAAAAAAGAATTCATGTAGTTTCCAAATATCCAATGTAGAATATAAAAAAAAAGATGTATCATTCATTAGAACATAACGTCCCAAAACTAATTTAATATATCCGGCTTTCTATATAAGTTATAATCCGTTATATGTAATGAGCTTATGTTTTTAGTAGAAACATATTACTGAAGTTATAAGCTTCTTAACTGAGAAATTGAAGCTCAGACGTGTCACGTGACATAGATAAAATTAAGATTTTTAATATATATATATATATTCTTTAGTTTAACTAACTGAAAGTTAGATAATACAAACACATGAATTATGGGCATACGTTAATAATAAAATTGTCTAATTAAATTTAGAACATAAAAGCTCATGACATTTTTACTAGGGCGTAACGATAGGGTAGAATTTATCGACAGCCAATTAGAGATCATTGATTTAATATATACGACAAGCGGTGTTCACCATTAGACAACACTCAAACGTAGTTTGTACCAATGTCAAAAACCCTACATAATGAACCTAAAATCTCTCATCCTTCTTAGGAGAAATCAGAGGAAAGACCTGGACCAGTGGCGTAGCAAGGGTTCTCACCACCCGGCGCCCCCACCTCTGAAATGTTTTGATTATTTGTTTTGTGACTCATTACCCACTTAATGACAATAACATGGTTACATTATATGAACCTTTCGTGCTTTTGCTGCTTCAAATGCATCAATTAAACTATCAAAATTTAAGGTATTAAGTACGTCTTTTTCAATACTTAATATTACCAAGTTACTATGTCGTTCTTGAGTCATTGAGG